AAATATGTTAATCAGTGACTCAAGACACAAAATCTCAATGTTATGTGAAATATGTTAATCAGTGCTCAAGACAAAATCTCAGAATGTTATGTGAAACGTTAATCAGTGCTCAAGACACAAACATATCCAAATGTTATGTGAAACATGTTAATCAGTGCTCAAGACACAAACATATCAGAATGTTATGTGAAACATGTTAATCAGTGCTCAAGACACAAACATATCAGAATGTTATGTGAAACATGTTAATCAGTGCTCAAGACAAAATCTCAGAATGTTATGTGAAACGTTAATCAGTGCTCAAGACACAAACATATCCAAATGTTATGTGAAACATGTTAATCAGTGCTCAAGACACAATAATCTCAGTACGTGAAATATGTTAATCAGTACTCAAGACACCCACATCTCAGAATGTTATGTGAAACTTGTTAACTATGGGCAAAGAAACTTTCCAATGACCAGCTGAGTTTCAGTTTTAACTATATCAGCTGTGTATACCTTTTGAATAGAAGAAGTATTGTAGTGCATAAATATATAAAAAACAAGAAAAAGTATAGAGAGCCTTAGAACGTGAATGTAAAGTATGACAGGGAAAATTGGAATAAACTGTAAAAAAAGTCAAGGAAACTTGATTACTGTAATATAAATATGAAGAAAGGCAAGGATGGTTCAGTTGGATGGGAGTACAGATGTACATAAGAAGAAAAGCAAGACTCAGAGCACTGTTAAGTTAATAAAATAGCTCCTTTTTTAACACTTATTTTCTGATGATAGAGAAAAATATTCAGTATAAAAGTTGACATTGTATCATAGATTGAAAACAAGCTTTCTTATAGTTACGTTAATACAGTTAGTTTCAAGGAAATTAGTTGTTTTCTAAAGCTAGCTATGTGTATATGAAAAAAGTTTATGAATAATGTGTGCAGAAATGCTACAAACCATTCATATCCGTGTTAATTGAAATGAGGAATAATTTGGATATTAGCTAGTGGATCATGAGCTTACAAATGTCTTTTCACACTCAAATAGAGATTGAGGAATACCAATTTATAAGTATATAAACAGTTAACAATTTTTTTTGTAAATACTTGTTTTTACTGTATACAAAGAATTATTTGACTTAAAATACTGAGAAACCATATTCATGAAAAATGTAGTAATTGTAAATTTTTTCTGTATCTGTTATGCACCCTTGAGTACAACAAGATATTTGTTAGTGCTTGATTGAGTTTTGGTTGATGGCTGTGGAAACAGGATGGAATTTGGGAGGCATGGGAACAAACAGTATGTTAGAATTTAGGCTGAAATCTTGGATCAGTTGAGTTACTATAATTCCAGCTGCTTCTTTTTTTGAATTTTTAATTAAAACATGTGTTATTTAATTGTTTTGTCAATGTCGGTCACTAGAAATGGTCATAAAATAGTTTTATTACACAATCAAGTATATCATGAAAATGTTTCTTCTTGTAAAGAAGATGGTTTTACTTATTCCTCTAGGAAATAGTTAGTCTGTTGTTTCAACCTTTCATTCTACTCCACAGGGGATGATGGGAAAAAAGAAATAGAAAATCCAGGCCTGGTGAAGGAATCAGAAAATGTTTACACATTATGGTGCAGTGGGAGGGTTTGTGTGGAGGGTATGTTGGTGGAACTGAAACTCTTAAAACGTCAGGATTTGGTCAGTGTGATATCCAGGTTTTTTAGACCAGCTTCAGATCAGATTGTATGTATTGCTTTTTTGTTTATCTTGTGAAAATGTTCTAACTCAATAATCCCCAAACATAAAGTGCAATAAAAGAACATCTACGTAATAAATACTAGCGAGTGAATGTGGAAAAATGTCATCATTTCTGAATATTTTATAGTGTAATGTTTCAAGAATACATTTTTAGTCTCCTTTTTTTTTAAAACTTTTATATATGTACATGGTGGCTACAAACCTGGAAGATCAAGGAAAAAAAAAACATTTTCTAAAGAATCTTTCAATCCTGAAACACACACACACACATTGGAATATGATTCACTTATTTGAAGGTGCTATGATAGCAGTTCCTTATAGAACAATTACTAGTTTTCAGAAAGATGGTTATTTTTGTAATATTCAAATTATGTTTTATCAGAAATATCTCTTAAAATACTTGTATTTTCAGTTAGTCAAAGTTCACATGAATACAGATGCAATGGATTCTTTTGTGTTTTGTGTGGCAAAGAAGAAAACAGCACTGGCTCTAGGAAAAGAAATGACTGATTTAGTAAGTTACTTAGATTTTTATTTTCTTTATTCCCGAGGAACAATTAAAATTGCATCTAATGGAAAGACAATATCATTAGTAACTTTCACACAAAACAGGAGCAGAGTCCAGTTGTGGAAGTAAGGGTTAAGTAGTAACAAACATTTCACATAGTTGGATTAGTTTTCAACATACATCTGTTTTTGTTATTTCATAGATATTATGTATCAACAAGATAAATTACAAATTTCTCATGTTATTCTGATTGATCAGTCTCCTAAACCATCACCATCCAAGCAGTGTGTTATTATTAGTGGTACAGCAAATAGGGTTTTAGGTTGTATTTTTCTAGCAGGGTGGTCGGTCTTTGGAATGAGTTGCCTTCAGTTGTAGTGGATGCAGTTATTTTAAGGGAGTTTAAAGAAAGGCTTGATAAATATTTGAATGATAAGGAGTGACTTTAATTTTTTTAAAGTTTGGTTTAATATAGTGAATAGGATAGCCTAGATGGACCAACAGTTCCTTTGTTGTCTTTAAATGTTTTGTTATGCTGTGATACAAACAAGTTAGATGATTTGTTAGCTTCATTGTTGCTAGTATTATAATGTTCAACAGTAGAGCATAGTAAACCCAAAACTTTTATTATTTATAAAACTGAAAGAGTTTAATAATTTGAGAACTGTAAAAATTGAGTTGTATTAGTTTAAGACCAGCTTTAGATGAGTAGTTGCTAATCTTGTCTGAAGCTGTTCTTATACCAGCAGCCCATAGCTTTTTCACTTCTCTTCAAACAGCTATTTTAGGCTTAGTAACAGAGAGTGTGTAGAATAGGTTATGTTACACTATTGCTTGCTTGTGACCATACACAGCCGTAAATGTTCAAAGGTCAGAAGTTGTTAAAGCTTCCATCTGGCTCTGACTGAGAATATAACTACAGCAAATGTAACATTATCACTCTTTGATATCACAAAAATGATACTACGACACTAATTTTCTGAGTACAAGTTTCTGTTAAGAAAGAGTATTATGATGGTTATAGGATGTAAGGTTGTGTACTGTCTGATACTGGAAGTTATTTAGATAATCTAAGATAGCTAGTTTAAGGGAAAAGTGTGTTTTAAAGTGAACTATTGCTTGTAAAGTTTGGTATTTTATCACTCATGTCTTGTTAAGCCTAGTGAGACCAATATTCCATTATTCTGAAAACATGCAAAATTAAACATAAAAAATTATTGAAAGATTTTGGCAAATTTTATTGTGAATTGATTGGAATCTTCAAAAAATTAACATAGCAACATATCAAATGAAATATTAGTGTCATATAGTTTGTAAATGTATAAGTTAATAATTATTATTTTTTGGTGGTTTATTAAAGAGTTTAAAAACCTTTATATTTTATCTTCATTTTTGTGAAATACACACCCTTTTCGGAAATATAGTTATGTCAGCAGTCTGAAATTTGGGCTTACCTCATTTACATATGTATTTAAATAGAGATGTTTATTGCTATTTATTTCAGTTTGAGAATGTGACTGAATCGTGTGTAGCTTCAGTAAAATGCTCAACAGGCAGTAAATGATTTGGTTCTAAACATTTATTAAATGTATAATGTGTTATTTTTTTTTAGTGGTTGCTTTAATGTTAAATCAAATTTTTGTTGTTGTTTTTTTGGTCAGTTTTTGGTGGGAAAAAATTCCACAAAATTATTATGCCATGTTCCTAAAATAATTAAAAAATAACAAAACTAATAAAATAATTTTGTTTCCATTAAATTTCCTTTTAACACTCGCTATTGGCTCAGTTGAATCAGCTGAGTTCATGACCCCAGATTGACCTTTATAGTTTCCATACTATAACTTCTAATACATTTTGTGTATCTTCTTGAAATTTTGCAAGCTTTCAGTAAGCATTAATTCTTTTGTAGACACAAAATCAGAATTTTTAGTTATGTACTTTCATTAAAAATTTCTCCATGAATATGTGGAGTCAAGTTGTTGACTGCTCTGAGTACAAAGTGATATTCATGTTAAAATTAAAAATACTTTTCTTCATCAGAAAATTCTCACTTTTCATTTGTGTGATCTGAAACCTTCTTAATAAATGTCAAACGTTTTTTTTTTTTTGGTAAAACTTTATATTTTATGGGGGGTGTTCTACCATAACTCAACATGAGTCTGGTCAATTTGATTGACCTCTTAACCATAAAGAAATATAAAATAAGTCTAAACTACCCCTTTTTTCTTTCTAGAATGATAAATGATTCATATTGTAACATGAATCTACATTCATTTATCCTAAATAGCTTTAAACTCATAATAGTATATACTTGTTTTTACTTAGATTATATTCTTTTTATTGCTGTGTATACTGTGTCTAACTAATATCCCCACCACACAACTTGTAAATCACTTGGCAAACATGTAGCTTACGTTACCCTATCAAATTACAGTAACACACAGGCTGCTCATGAGTGTACCTTCTCAAAAATATTTATTAGTGGTATTTTTCTTTATTTTACCTAATCTAACCTAAAAAATTTATAATTTTTACATTTTAGTTACTTTTATAATAATAGATGAAGAATTCATATGAAAAACAAGAAATATAGTCTGTTTGTTTTTTTGCTACTGACTGTCAATGAAACTTAACCCTACTTTTTTATATTAATGGTACTACTGCACCAAATATATTTTTACTAAATTAAATAATACACCAAAGAACACAGAATAATAACGTGTAAAAACTTGTGTCCTATACGTATCACAGTTTTCGGGCTTTCTAACTATGTGACAGGAGACGTTAAAATTCAGCTGAGTTCATTGGTGGGTTTCTTTTGAGAATAAAATTTGAACTGGAAGCAAAATATACAATTCTCTATACAGAAAACAAAATAATGTAATATGTCATTTGATAGACAAAAAATATGGGTTTCTAATGGTTATAGATAATATAATATTAAATGTTGGAGGGAGCTATTGACAATTTGTAAAAGAGAGGATATGACAGGTGGGTGTGGTAAGAGGGTTCTGATTTCCTGTTTTATGGCTCTGTAATGAAATAAGATTGTATGCTGTGAAAATTATGCTTTGCCTGAGCAATGACAACATTATAATAGTAATTTACAATAAAATAAAGAAGAGGGATGCCTAGAGAGCAAAGGTCACAATTCTCATACTAGGGGAAATTGAGGGTTTTAAAAAATTATTTCCTTTTGAAATTAAGAACATAAAATTTATGTAATATTACAATTTGGATTATAAGCTACATTTTGATGTCAAGTTTATTCGTATATCATGATAATAAAGTTCTCTAATTAAATTTTGAATGTTACTGAGTAAAACCTTGTGACATGCAGAAAAGGATACCTGTATGGAAAAGAGTTAAATAAGTCATAAAAGTATGATTTTGGTGTTTTAGTAGTGCTGACAGTAAATGTGATTTATATTTGCTACATAGGATAATAATGAATAGATTACTCAAATATTTTAGTAGTTATAAAATCATTTAAATTTTCACATTTATCATAAATTTTGAATACAGGTGAAAATCATCTCCTAGAAAAATTGTCACTGTTGTGAAAAAAAAACACAAACACTTTGAGTATCAAAAATTTATTTTTGATCTAGTAAAATTGAGGTGTGTGTAAAAAATAAGATTAGTATTTTGAATAACGTCAAAATATGTTTTATCCAAAAAACCTTGGATGCCTAAAATGGGAGTAGTTGTTTGAAATAGGTCAAACAGTATTTTATTCCAATGGTTTTTAATACATGCTGATGCTTTATGAAATTAAGTTTTGATCTCTTGTTAGATTTAAATAGAAAACTTTGGAAAATGATACATCAACAAATACTTGTGTGTGTGTAGGCATTTGACTAGTAACATGTGGGTCTTAGGTTTGAATCCCATCACGGAACATGATTACCCTTTCAGCCGTGTAAGCATTATAATGTGACAATCACACTCTTCCTTAGTAAAGAGTTGACAATGTTCGTGTTGATTAGTTGCCTTCCCTCTAGTCTGTTACTTCTAAATTAGGGATGGCTAGTGCAGATAGCTCTTCAGTAGCTTTGCAAATTCAACAGACAGAAAAACAAAAGTTATGTTTATATGTGGTACATGAGCAATTTAGCTCTCAAACCACTAACACATTTGTATACTGTTCATGTTTGATAGGGTCTACTTATTGAGTAACTCTGTTTTTGTCTGTTACAACAAGAATTAACCAATAACATTGATGAATTTGCTCATATTGTATTTAAAACACATAGGAAACCCTAAGTGTTTAATGGATTAATTTCATTTTATTTGATATTTTTGTTTAAAATTTTTCTCACGTGAATCATGTTATTAGTGATCCTGTTATCAACAAATCATGGACCTTCAAGTGTAGAATAAATAGTTTAGAGAAATATGTTAAAAAGAAATTGGACTCCTTAGTAGTTCTAGGGTTTATACTTAAAATTTTCTGTGGTACAAAATATGTTTACAAGTGCATTTAATATTTGTTTTTCTTCAAATTTCAGTGTACTTATTGTCCTGACAAGAAGTCAGCAGAGAAGTATGGACTGTCTTCCAATTTCACCATAATGAGTGAAGTCGGCGAGGCTTCAAATGCCATGTTAGATTCTAAAGTATGTGTGTAATGTAGAAGAACTTGTCATTGTCAGTTGAAATGGTTTGGTATCAGATGAAATGATGTTTTTGGTCGAATTTTTGTAGCTTTTGTGTAACTTTTGATTCAGTTATTTTCTTCTAATTCGAAATTTCACTAAACAGTTACAAGTTTTAAAGGATGTATAAAAATAAAGACTAAACAGTTACAAGGTGAGGAATGTATATATTTACTTATAGTCAGGTAATTCAATTTTAAGCTTGCCAATTCCAACTAACTTTCTTTTGCATTTTGTTGAAACTGTATGTGGTAGGTCTTGCGTTATTTTTGAAATTTCATGATGTTTATAGTTAGATGAATCTTAAAACTTTTCTATTGCTCCATAAGAATAATTTTCATACTAAATGCAGTTTACATGATCACAGATTGGTTTAGCTCGTTAGTTCAATTATAGTAGAAAAAAATCGTAAGATATTCAGTATAATCTTTCCTTCAAAATTAAATGTAGGATCGTTTTCTTGTGGTTTTAGTAAATATTTTCAGGTTTAGGAAGTAAAAAGTTTTCATATGTCTAACAAGTACCTTTTGTTTTTTGTTGTATAAAAGTCTAAAAACTTCTGAGTTTTTAACTAAATACATTGAAGTTAAATGTTTTAGTCAACTGCGGGTAGTTTATTTTGCTATAGTTACACTAATTTAATAATATGCAATAAGATACCAATCCATTACCTGCAAGTATCCATATATTATTAACTTTTGTGAACTCTCTTTTGATTGTGAGCCTGGTGTAGTCTTGTGGTTAGCATGCTAAACTTAAGCTGTAGAAGAGCTGCCCATCATGCATATTCTGGGAAGAAAACTCACAATTTGAACTTGTTCATGCAAAATATTAAATTGTAAGCCCTGTGATCCTGCATGTGATGGTCTTTTAGCAGAATTTATTTTGTTGCCCAGTTTTGGTAGGAACCATATTTTGGTCACATGTGTCAGACAAGCCTTTTAAGCAACATGTTGTAAAAGTAGGTTTTATTTCATTTCACTTTAAAGATAGTTTTGGAAAATTCATGAAGTTTATTATATAATCTTTGTATAGAAAAGAGTGCTTATTATGCCATGCACACCAGAATTAATAGTTGCAATACACTTGAACACTGCATTAATAGAAACATTGTTTGTGGCAGTGAAGACTGTACACCTGTTAAAAGCTGTGTTAGATTTAAATAATTCAGAAACAAGATAACATAGAAATCTTATTTGCAGGTAGTGGCATTGACTAAGAAGTATGAACAAAATATTGACTACATGCATTTTTCTGACCAGTATTCTGGACCCAAGCTTCAAGAGTAAGTATGAGCCACACTTAAATGAATGTTGTATGTTGCTTTTTGTAAGTCACTTAAGTTATACCTTTTCAATTAAATATTTCAAAGATTGAGATTTTTAGCAAGTCTCAAGTCTTGATTTTGTTTTTTAAAGAAATGGATAACCCATTTGTTGCCTATGTCATGTAACCAAACATAGGTTAAGTATGATATATTAAAATTATTTTGAAACCTCACAATGTCATTAGAGTCCATGTCACTATGTCTAGTCATGCTTTATCTGACAACTGTATATTTTGACAATAGACCTGTAGTGTAGTTTCCATTGCAAAGCTTTATGTCTGAAGCTTACTACTACACCTTGTAGGGTTTCCATAATCCATCTAGTGTACAAGGGTGAGAATTTCCCAGTGCCAGTGTATGTTTATAACATACTCAACCCTTTATAGATTTACTTTTTCCAGTTGAAAACTTTCTTCTGAATTTGTATTCATACTTGCCACCACTGAGGTGATGCTACATTCACAAGCAGTTGAGTTATAATTGGTACAATGCCTTCTTCCTTTGTCCAGTCAGCTGGAAGTTGTATATATTATCATATGTTTCAGAAATATATTTTTGTGCTGAATTACTAAATATTTAGTGTGCAATGCTACTATGGTTAAATTTATGACTGAGCAAATGCAGATGTTTTAAAAAGAACTTCAACAATGTACTACCCAATTAACCAAAGTGTTGAGGTAGAGGCTTGTGATTCAATGATGAACATGTTCAGCTGTTAAGAAAAAAACAGCTTTATGTATGTATGTATATTTGTTTAATGTATTTAATGTCATTTTATTGCATGTATATTTCTGAAAAATGTTAGAAATAAATATATTTTTTATATACCAATGACATTTTCTTAGTAATGATACTAAAAAATCTTACAATTGTTATTAGTTTCATAAAAGATTACAAAGAGGGTTTAATGATATACTGTTCGATAATTCTAATACATGAAGGAAAGGGTGTACAACTTGAGTTTTAGGACATGGTTGTAATTTGTTAAAGACTTGGTTCTATACAATACTTTTCCTACTTACCTAGCTAGTCTTCTTGGCTTTTAGTGCAATGTTGAGCAAATTAAACAAAATGTTTTATGAAAAAATAAATATAAATAATCCACAGAACAAGAATTCACGTAGCAGTTAAATGTGAACTTTTCCTTGATCATGACCTTCACACTTCAACATGTTTTTTTATGACACCATGACTCCACAATCTTCATCATTTGTGTAACTTGAAGATAGGACCTATAAGATACATTCACTGAACAATGTTCTTCAATATGACAATATTTTTGTTAGGATCTCTTGTGATACCACTGTTGCATACGTTTGGCAAAACACGCAACATTGTTCATTGTTGTTATCTTTGAATAATGTGTTTTGTAGTACATGGTATCGAAGTGTAGAATGTTTAGATGATGCTATTGTTCATTTTATTTTTGACTTAATTTTAATGTTTTTTTTTGTTTTTTAATCTAAGGTTACTTGATTCTTCATGAATAATGCATAAAAGACCAAAAAACATCCATAATTTTTGTTGTTTTTTGTAGAGACTCAACTTCAACAAAACTTCCGGAAGTGAAGAAAGTGTTGATGTTTGGATTTAGTGGTAATAATATTGATATTTGAAGTACATTTAAAGTAATTAAATATTGTTAATCTGTTAAAAAACCAATATCTCAGTATTTTTTGGGTGGTGGTGAATTAAACACTATGGTAAATGTAAGAAATTTTTTTAATATTTAACTTATGCAGTGGCTTGTTGCCTTAAGAATATTTTTAACATGTACATATACATGTATATATGCTTTATGCTGATTTTACAATTATTTAGTGTGCAATACTACCACAGGCAGACTTATGGCTGGAAGTAAGTGTCATAGCTGTCTTTGAGGAGTGATTTTCATATAGCAAGATTTTTAAATGATGTAGAGGTTACTAAATTTTGAAGAAGTGAGTCCTTACTGTTCTATTTGGATGCAAAAGTCTTGAATATAACAGTGTGTTTGGGACAGAAATGAACTCCAAAATCACACACCAAACCAATCAGAACTAACTTTCTTCAGGAAATTAAATGACTAAAAATCATACATTATTATGTTGAATTAAAACATCATTTATCTTTATTAATCCAGCTTCTTCAATCTTATCATTTCAAATACTTATCTGTTTACAAAACAGGTCAAAGTCATACATTAATCATTCTATTTTGACAATCCAATGATAGAATACCACGAAGGTTCAATAACAAAACAAATGTTTCTTTTTTTTTTTAGATAGGTTAGTTAAATACAAAAATCAGTTGTGTATTACTCCATTTACCAAACAAGCAAAGAAAATCATTTAACAAAAGACATCTAGATAAGTTTTGGTGTAGAGTTTCTATACAACACAAGAAGCATGTCAATCACATTTTTACAGAACAAATGCCAGTTCTTGAAACTAATTCTACAGTGCCGCCTGATCTCAGTTTGATTACCAGACTACCCCATAACTACTTGACACCCCCATTGTAGTAGAGTCCTGTGTAGGATGAAGAGGTCAATTTTACACCACAGACCCTCTACAGTATGTTAATGTCAGCTTCCAAAACGACATGAAACAGATCAGCTGGTAGGGAGAACATGACATGTATGTGGTAAATAGGATTACTGTAATTCCAATTTCTTTAGCTAGATTTCTGAAGACAGCTGGTTATTTTGAGGTGTGGCTGGAAGCTTGTGAACTTTCATCAATTTCAAATTATTGTTTATTATTGACAATGCCAGAAGATAAGCCCAGCTTCACTCTGCACTAGCGTTTTAGGTCAGAGGGTTCTCTTACAAGTGTTATGTGGCATTAATGTAGCTTTGTGTTTTGGTTTCAGTTCCTGGTCAAGGAAAAGTTACTCCTGAGATTATGGAGACTCTGAAACCTCTACTGCAACTAGTATTCTACTATATTGAAAAAGTGAAACGTTTCAACTTAAGCAAAGAGGTATTCATTTTCCTTTCGACTTCAGGTACTGATTAACAGAATCAGTTGTGTCCACCAACTGACAAGTCTGTTTTGTTCATCTTTAAAGTTTCAGTGTGTTGGTTTCTTTTTGACAGATTTAGTGTACTTAATTTCTCTCATCCCGTTTACTTATTTCTATTTTTAGTCATTTCAATTTTTATTGTAACTTTTAAAAACCATTCGAAAAAAAAAGAGTTGTTGTTCTTATCATAGAAGAGAAAACTACTACTCGTGTATGTTGATAGTAGAGTAGAAGTCTGACATAAAATTGTATACACAGATAATATACTAATGTATTAGAAAATAAGAGTTTAATGGTAAAATGCTCTAAGACATATCTATTATATGAGGTTAATTTTTTACTTAGGCTAAGACTAAAGCAGAAAAAAACAGACAAAAGGTGGAAGAAGCATTTATTAAGACCACTCATGCTCAGCGCCAAGAGGCTGCCCAACAGCGACGTGAAGAAAAAAGGAGAGCAGAAAAAGAGAGGATCCTTAATGAAGAAGACCCTGAAAAACAACGCAAGTGGGAGGTATGTTTCTGTTGAATGAATCAGTATATAAAGTGAAAAGTTAGAGGTATGTTTCTGTTGAATGAATCAGTATATAAAGTGAAAAGTTAGAGGCATGTTTCTATTGAATGAATCAGTATATAAAGTAGAAAGTTAGAGGTATGTTTCTGTTGAATGAATCAGTATATAAAGTAGAAAGTTAGAGGTATGTTTCTGTTGAATGAATCAGTATATAAAGTAGAAAGTTAGAGGCATGTTTCTGTTGAATGAATCAGTATATAAAGTAGAAAGTTAGAGGTATGCTTCTGTTGAATGAATCAGTATATAAAGTAGAAAGTTAGAGGTATGCTTCTGTTGAATGAATCAGTGTATAAAGTAGAAAGTTAGAGGTATGCTTATGTTGAATGAATCAGTATATAAAGTAGAAAGTTAGAGGCATGTTTCTGTTGAATGAATCAGTGTATAATGAATCAGTGTATAAAATAGAAAGTGGGAGATATATTTCTGTTTTACACTTGAATAATTGGTAAAGCAAAAAATATCAAAAGCTGTTAATTCAGATGTTTCTACTTTATGTCCATTTAACAAGAGCGAGATAGTCAAAGACCTGTTTTTCTACCATATATATATTTCTGGTGCCAAAATGCTAAAAGTAAAGTTGCCATTCTTATCAACCCAACTTTATTTAAAATTGCATTTTTGAACACCTGTTTTTTTTAGTTTGGAAGACAGTTAGAAAATTATAAGTACATTTATTTATCCTTGACAAATTGGTACTTTGATCTGTAACTATCAGTTGCGTTTCCATCTGGCAAATTTTTTGTTGTTGATCTTTCAAGTGTCAGTGTGTTACTTTCTTCTTCTTCTTTCAAGAGATGTTAGTACTTTATTTTATAAATATGTAACTCCTTGTCTTGGTTTGTTTATCATTTCCCTCAAGGAATTCATTGTGATATTCTTTGAATTTTACCTGTATTTTCCTGTAGGTTTCTACCTTGAAAGTGTATAATAGAATTTTATTTGTATTTGTGATGTATAAGTGATGATATCACTGCCACTAACAAAATGCTGTTTTTAAAGGGTAGTTTTTATTATTTGTAAACATTGTATTTTGTAACTTATAAGTTAAATCTTGGTATGAAATATTTGTAAAGCCTCATTAGATTTCTTCACTGTTTTTTCAAATCATTTTCAGTCTTTTAAGTATACCTGTTTTAAGTAGCATTCCATAAAGAAGATTAATAACTTGCATGAAAGAGTGTAATGAACAAAAGCGGAGCTCGTCTGTGTTTTAGTACTCAAGAAAGCATGCGTTATACCAAAATTTAACAAAATAAGGCTTATGATGCGTGCTTGAGCTTTGCATTTGATAGATATATTCTTAAAAAAATTGTAGTAGTTGATTTTCAGGATGTTACTTCAGTGTAAGTATCTCTAAATAAAAGTTGGTGAAAAGTTTGTTTCTTTAAATGCTATCATGCTGATTAGTCAAAAAAAAAAAAAATTTGCGACTGTTAATTTCTCTCATGTAGAAAAAGTAACACTTTCACGGCTTAAGTGATTTCTCTAACTATGCAATAGGAACGTAAAGCCTCATTGTGAACTCTGTCTTAGATTCCACTAATTTTATGTTATGTTTGATGACAGAGTGACTGCATTGGCATCCTTTTCTTGAGTGCAACACTGGTGGTACATGTTGTCCTGTCTTTACTCATTTTAAACTTTGATTTTCATGTGCCACCAGTTGTGCACATTATGATTTAACTAATAATAATCAGGTGATCATAATATCTAATATTTATTCTCTTTTCCAGAGTAATTTTTCTGTTTTTTTTTATTTTTTTAGAAGAATTATGAATATTTCACAATATTATGGTTGTAAAAAAAATGGACACAGATAAAATAATTCTTACTGTGGATGATGATAATTTAAGGATTGTGATGTGAAGCCTACAATGACAAACATAAATGAAAATTAGAATTGAATTAAAATTCATTGTTTATTCTTTTTTTTTCCCATTTTCTAAAAAAAACAATGTCAAATTAGTTTTTCTCCACTTACTCACTATGAAACTTTTATTTCCATTTCATTTCTATCCTTATTACAGTTTTCATAAGTTTTTTTTATTTATGAAAGAAGTCACAATTAGTTAGTTTTTGCTTCAATTACTCACAATGAAAAACTTAATGCCAGTCTCTAGATGTAATTTTAAAATAAAAAATGGTTTAATCTTGTAAATTTGTTTTATTTCAGTTGTCTTTTAACATGACATCTGTGCTCCACCAGAGATACATGGCTTTGTTATAGCCATCTGTACAAAATAAATGCTTTAATGTAGAGCTTTGCAGATATTAGGGTGCACTTATATCTTATTGGTGCTGTGTATCAAGGGTGGCTCATGACGTCCAACATAAAACGTGCCACTGGTGGGGCACGGTGTCGTGAACATGTTAATTAAGTTTGAAACTACTGTGTTAATAAAATTTATTTTAAGGATTTTGTGAACAGATATATATAAAGTAAAATAAATATTTTAGGTTGTATTTTCTGGGTTCGTGTGTGTGTTTCCCCATGTGTATCTCAAACTATTAGACCAATGTACACAAAAATTTTCAGAAGATGGAAAGTCAGTATGGGACAGTCCTTCCCAAACTTGGTCCGGATTCTGGATCACGTTGAAGCATTTTTTTTTATAATGGAGAGACAGAGCATTTCGTGGTTTGGGGTTAAAAACTGTTAAGTGTGATCAGACTTATACCAGATTTTATGGGCATGTTAAGGTTGAGACTTCTCATGACACTACAAAAAATGATCCGGATCGTTGATCATTCTGGATCTTAGAAGGATTTTCTGAGTTTTCGAAGGTAAAATTTGATGTTATCTAACATAAATACATGCAGTCTTGAAAAGGAGTAGCAGGGCGAGGGTATACAATCTCTGTGATTGCTCTTGTCCTCATTGAAATGGAGTGTTAAAGAATAAATAGGATCAAAACCCAAACCCTTCAAACATTGTAGGTTTTGGTAAGATTTACTTAAACAAATTGGTCTTGTTTGTTGTTTAGTTTTTATGACCCTAAAATAAGTTATTTGAAATTAACTACTATTTTTTTTTCCTTACAGGATCGAGAACATCGTCGGGAATTGAAGAAAAAAGCTCCAAAAATGAAACAATTAAAAGTGAAGGCCCTTTAATTAAAGCCCAAGTTTTTGTTTTTTTAAACACTCCTGAAAATCAAGATATTCCATTTTCAAACAAGTATCGATACTTGTACAAAATATATAAGGATTGTTCTTACTATTATGGTATGTTTAAAATTGATTTCTTAAAGTACACAGCTTAATTTTTTATTTTTTTTTGGTCAATATACTGGGACTAGCTTTGTGATGAAACAAAGAATCGATATAAAATAAAAGCTGTTTGGTTGCAGGATAAAGAACGAGGAAATGGTGTCGGGAACATGACTAGAAGTACGAGTGATCTTGAAACTTTTTGTGTAAGCTCATTGATACGTGCATAACTTCTAATATGTTTAATATTATACATCATCGTTAAAGACAGCATGAAGTGGAATGTTGAATCCTGCTGATTTCAAAAGGTATCCGAACAGGCAGGCTCATACAAGATGTTTACTGAAGGCACTGAAGCTCAGAGTATATTCCTGTAATTTATGACCTCATCTTAGAAATATACTTAAAATATACTATTAGATTATTAGTATCATTCTATTTTATTAACTGACAGAGTACAAAATTACATCTGTGCAATAAAATAAAACCTAACCTGAATTTCAGGCTTTGAGGCACATGCTATAAGCTCACTTGTCATTCTAATGTTATGTTTTTCTTTTAAGATGTTTTTTAATGATAATGGGATGATTATGTCTTACTTTCTAAACAAGATTTTTTTTTTCACATTAATTTTGTATATAATGAAATTATGATTATTTTCTCATAAATTAAGAAAAAACTGAATAGAACAAAAACATATAAAATATCTGGTCTTCTCACTACAGCTGCTGTTATGAAAGAGAGCATAGGTTAGCTCTGTGATAGAGCTATGGATTTAAGGGCTGGTGAACTGGGTATGAATCCATGAAATACCCCAAGATATTCCCTGCACTTTAAGCTGTGGGTGCATTGTAGGAGTGACAGTCAATCTCTCAATGTGATGGTGCATGGTAGGGGGCTTTTGATTGGCTGCCTTCTATCTCATCAGTAGTTATGGGCTAACTTGTCAATTTATTAGGTCATGAATTTTGAAACCATGACTACTTATTCCCATTTCATTATTCAGTGAATGCCAGAACAGCCACCAGAATTAGGCTTAGTCTATCAAATATAACTTGAAACAAGGAAGACTAATAAGTACTAAGAAGCTTGAATTTTTTCACCTTGTTTGGAAATTTTCTAATTGTTTTTATTGGGGGGTGGGAAGTAAAATAAGGTTGTGAATTTAACAATATGTCCTAGGTCTTCACATGCCTGACAGTAATATGAAACTTACAATTTTTTTCAGGAAAAAGTATTTTATCACAAAAACAGTAATAAAACTTAAAAAATAAAAGATCAATACATTAGTATCAGTGTTGTAAGATATGGTAATCAAACCATACCATTTGTAATCAGTGTCATAAAGCCAGTGTCCAAAAATATTACTAAAATCCATCCTTTTTTTTTTTGAATCGGTGTGATCAATACACTGAGGTAAATGAATCTAAATATCTGAACAGTTTTTTCTTAAGGTTCGTAAGCAGGGCTATATCTAGTTATAAAGTCATATTCATGCTTGTTTTTGACATCTTTCACTAACTCATTTACACACATAATTGGAAGTTACAGCTTGAAACCTAAGTTTGACCTTGGCAAAATGGTTGGCCTTGGTTACTGTGATGTTTCTAAGTTACATCAGAAAGTTGTCTAGCATCAAATACTAACCACCTTACTTTATAAACAGATTTTCTTAAAATGTATAGATTTATGAATTGCCTAAAGAATAAATGGAGGAAGGTATTAAAATCAAGTCTCAGTAAATATAATGCAGTACCTATAAATATATATATATATATATATATACTGGCCCAGCATGGCCAGGGAGCTCGACTCACGATCTGCGGGTTCGAATCCTTGTCCCCTCAAACATGCCCGCCCTTTCAGCCGTGTGTGTGTTATAATGTGACCGTAAATCTCACTATTCGTTGGTACAAGAGTCACCCAAGAGTTGGCGGTGGGTGATGATTTCAAACATAAAATATAAGTAAAACTTAGTAATGTGTGAGAAATCTTTTGACCTAAATTACTCAATAATCAAATAAAAATGTAAAGTACTTCTGACATTCAGATAGTACATTTTTGTCAACTCTAATTGACCAGCTGAATTCACTAGTTGTACTGAATGTAGCATAGCTGACTGAGAATCAGCTTTAAATGTGCATACATAAGCTTCCTTATCACATGCACATACATCTCTTGTTCTTCACTTCTCCCTTAATATCACTTGTATTATGTATTTTAACTTCATTTGTTATTTTTACACTTAGTCATTTGATTTTCCCTCAGAAATGAAGTGCAAGTTGTTAATTAAGGGTATTTTCTACAGTGGTGTATGTGAAAATTAAAAATATAATCCGGTTCAATAGAAAAAAAAGATTGAGAGCTATTAGTTTTAAACATCCAATTATTTGTGGGAGAAAGTTCTGTGATGATAATTTGTACCAGCAGATTTTTTGTTAGTCACACCTTAAATAAAATCCGCTTCTTGCAGAAAGAAAATCTAATTTGTGATCCAGATGTATTACGTTATTCACACTTTAAGCTGTGTGTTTGTAGTGATGACTTTTACTCTTTCAGTATGTGCCTAGACTTCTAATAAAGAACTTAAGAAAAGAGAAAACCTTGTTAAGGTCAGAAATGAGAATTTCTTTTGGTATAGAAATAACTACATCTGTTTAAAAATCAGATTGTTACCCCAACACCGAGTGCAGTTATGATACTTTTAATTGTACTAATATTTCAAAGTTACAGTTTTCTAATTTCTACTACAGTTTCAAACGATTTGTACAAAAGCTAAATAATTAGAAATAATTGATTCACACTTCAGTTTTGTTTTGTTTTTTCGTTGGAAACTAAAACTTCAGTAATTCGTATTTTCAGTCGAACTGCAATTAAAAGATATGACTGGTTTACAGTCTGTGCACAACTGAAAAGCTTGTTCATTGTACAGTCTGTGCATGACTGAAAAGCTTGTTCAGTGTACAGTCTGTGAATAACTAGAAAGCTTGTCCAGTGTACAGTCTGTGCATGACTAAAATGTTTGTTCAGTGTAAAGTCTGTGAATAACTAGAAACTTGTTCAGTGCAGTCTGTGCATGACAAATGTTTGTTCAGTGTAAAGTCTGTGCATAACTAGAAAGCTTGTTCAGTGTACAGTCTGTGCATACCTAGAAAGCCTGTTCAGTGTAAAGTCTGTGCATAACTAGAAAGCTTGTTCAGTGTAAGTCTGTGTATAACTAGAAAGCTTGTCCAGCTTCCAGTGTATACATGGTTTAAAACTTTGTGTATTCATGTATCAGTATAGGTCTGTTCCTGGTTTATATATATATATATATATATATTTTTTTTTTTTTCTGGTTTACAACTGTACTTCTTTAAGAGATGTCTTTTATCATCTGTTCACGCTCAATAAGATTTTTTTGATTAGTAGAGTTTAATGACAAAAAAGTGGTGTATTCTTTTCTTATGGTTAACAGATCTGATTGGTTTACATTTTTTTCAAAGAAACTTGATGAAATCGATACACCACTATTTATATTATAAAATTCTTTGACAACTACATTGACCCGAAAAGTATGACCTTTAGATAAAATCGACACAGCTGTATTCATGTTTCTGAACTAATAAATGACCATTAACCTGAAAGGTGTGACCTCTATATGAAATTGACACACCTGTGTCTCAGCGTTACTGAAATATGTGGCCTTTAGATTCAATAAATCTATATCTCGGTGTTTCTGAACTGATACTTGGCTACTAACATGAAACGAGACCTTAAGATGAAATCAGTACAGCTATATCCCAGTGTTTCTGAACTGAAACGTGACTTTTAGTTGAGTTCGGTACTATTAAACTACACTGTGTTAAAGGTAGTACTCCTTTCTTTGGTGATAACATTTTTCTGAAATTCAAACTGAAGCTGGGTAGAATTCGAATAAGCGATTCCAAACAACTGATCCACTGGTTTTCTCGAATGGATATGTCTCATTTGTATTGGTTATGGAGGACAGGATTTGGCTAGACTTTTTTTTTTAAGATGCACATTTGAGTACCTTAGTTTTTAAAGCAAGTAACATTCAGTTTAATTAACCACAGAGATAAAAATGTACCGTCCATCTGAAATAATTCTATCTTCAATAGTTTTAAGAAGAAAGAACTGAAAGTTGCGATATTCGATTGTAGATAGGATTGAGTGTGTTATATTAAAACGTGCAAATAAGCAAATCACGTGACAACTATAACCAATATAAAATTGTGGTGGAACGGAATGCATCAGAACTACATTTTGACTGTTTTGGGTAGTGTGATGCCACTGAAATTGATCGCTTTTGGGAAGGATATGTAACAGCCCTTCCCAACGCAAAATATTCATACAGTCAGATTATATAGATATGTTCAGATCAGGGATTTAAAATACTTTTACACCAGTCTATTGATATTGGTGAGTTCAAAGGAATTTCCCCTTGAAGTTTTATAATAAACGATCGGAATACATCTAAGTTTCATAAAGGCTATTAATCGAATTATTTTTTTTAGGGGGGGGTTTTCGGGTCAATACATCCACTGTAAAAATTAAAGACGTATATATATATATATATATATATATATAGCCGTGGTACATCTAAGGAAACTAAAGCAAAGCTACCAGTAATATGTTTACATACCTATCACCTTATTTCCATAATTTCTTCTTAAAAAACACGAAGAACTATCCCTGGTAAACTCCGCGATTGAACTCCACTCCAAAGCAACACGCAGATTATTGAAAGAGGGATGAAATAAACACCCAGCAAAATATGTACGAGGATACATAGTGAAAAGTACTCATTCAAAACTTTTGTTAAAAAAACAAATATCTGTGGGAACGAACAGAAAGGTTAACAGGACCTGACATGTGTTTCTAGATAAAGAGCTGTGTGATATCCGCTTCTACGCTTACTGTCAATGTTCAAGCTCGTTTGGAACGATATCAACCAACTTTATCCGAAGAAGTAACATTGAAAAGATTTGTATTATATATATATAATTTAAATGGTAATAAAAAATGGAGAACATTTTCAAATCTACTTATGCATTATGTAAAACTGTGTGTTGTGTACTTTTTAACATCTTGGGTAGTGTTAAAAACTTCCACTCAACTATCTTGTTCATCACAACATGCTCGAGAACATTACGTATAAACTAAAATGAACATAAACTAAATTAATTATAAAACATCTTATAGGTCTACACGGATATTCAAAACTCGTATACCCGTCGAGTTTTGAATTACCCTACCCAAATTGGTTCTTTCTCTCTTTCTTTTTTTTTAATTTTACTAACCATGTATCATTTGTTAATTTGAAAATTTAAAAAATACGACAACGATGTATTTGCAAGCATGAGTCTCTGGTCGGCTTAACACAGACAAGTTGAATCAGGTTCTTTATTAACACTGACGCTTCTTAACAGAC